GCTCACTTCTTCAGCTGTCCGAACCCCTGGATCGAAATCAACAAGCCAATCTGATCCCTCATTAAAATAGGCTGAAAACAGTGAATTGGACTTTGCCTCTGCCTGGGTCTTGGCAATCTAGCCACCGTGGGCGAACTCTTATCATCTTAGCAGCAGATTCTTCCCGAGGAACGTGCTCGGAGCCTGGGGTGCGGCTGTGGGTGGGGAAGGAAGACACACGTGTGTGCCTTCTGGGCTGGGACAGGGTGCAGGAGAACAAGAAGACAGTGAAGCAACAGACCAGACAGAACTGTCAACGTGCCAGCTTCTGGAAAAGCAGCTTGCACGGCTGACCTGCTCAATCAAGAATGAACTCTGCCGGTCGTACGTGTCCAAGGTAAACCCCACCTCAGAGGCTTACGTTATATGGTTTGAGACATACCTCGCCCCCCAGCAGGTGAGCGGGGCTCCTCTGTGGAATCGAAGGCATTTGCGTGTAGCCCAGGACCCGGGCACCGCATCTGCTTCTTACCCCACTGCCTCCCTCCTTTTGTCATTTTTGCCTCTTCCTGTCTTCCTGGTGTCCTTCCCTAACCCCTCTTCCATAAGCCTCCTTAAATTCTTCTACAATTTCCCTGCTTTCCCTGCATGCATTTTTTTTTTTTCCCTCCAAAGCAAGAGAAAACAAGCAAGGCTCAGACCTTCGCTCCAAGGCAAGATTTTTTTCCCTGTCCTTCCAACTGCTCTATTTGAAGTAAAAAACAAGTTGACTCTCTGTTTAGATCAATTCATTAGAGTGAGCGCACAGTGCTCCAAGAAATGGGGAGTGTTTGGGGATGCTGTGACAATTCACTGCCTGCGAATCCAGGAAGAGAATTTGCGAAATCAGCCAGCAAAGGGGTCCTGCAATTGCAGCGATGTGGTCAGGCAGCCCATAACAGGCCTCTTTGGGTGTGCCATGGATTTCTAGAGGGAGAAAAGGTGGAACAGAGTGTTCTCTTGATTCCTCTAGAAACAAGCTGAGGAGTCCAAAGACAAAGGACCCTCCTGATGGCTGTCGGGTCGCTTCCTGACACCTCTCCTCTCTCCTGGCCGCATCTGGCTCAGGTTCTTCTGCCGCAACCCTGAGCATGACCCCCCACCCCAAATTCCTCCATCCCCTCCATCCCCGTAGAGTGGGAGGACCCAAGGCAGCCCTGCCTCCACCAACTACATCCAGAGCACCCTAATAGCTTCCTGCCCCGGCGGCTAAGTAGCCACTAAAAAAAAAGCCAGAGTTTCTCGCTTGGAGAGTCTCATCTCCGGGACACTAATGAATCACCTCCAGGTGAGGAGGAGGGAACAGGTTTGAATGTGAGACAGCTCCTAGGGCCCCATTTCCTGGGCCAAAGCCCCTGCGCTGGGGAGACCACTGCAGCCCCTTGCCGAATAAACAGCCCCAGGAAGCAATGCAGAAATGGCTCAGGCTCGGGAAGCATTAAACTCGGGGCACGCCTGCAGGTTATCAGCTTGAGCCTCGGCCCGGGGGAGGTGAACAGGGGAAGGTGAGGAAGCGATCCGGGTGGGAAACGGAGCCCCGGCGGGGAAAGGCGAGCACCCCAAGTCCAGTGGCTCCCCAGATCCAGAGCACAGCTCAACCTTTGGTCCCTCGGGCCGTCCATCTCTCCCTCCTCCCTGGGGTCCAGCTGAGTGTGACTGATCCTCTGTTCACGTCACCAAAGAGCTGAGAGTTTCCCCAACTGACACCGACTTCTCACACAGAAACAAGATGGCAAGAAGGTCTAATCACTTCTGGAAAAGACTAAATCTGTTCTTGCCTGCGGGGGCCAGAGCAGTGAAAGGAAGGTGGGCTCTAAGGAATGTGTGCCACGGGTAAGTGGAGGGCTGGCCAGCCTGGGGACACCAAGAGGAGGCAGACGGCTGATCTCAGGGCGGAAGCCTCCCCCCTACCCCTTCCTAACCCTCCCACAAACATCCCTACGGATGAGGCGGTTCTCCTCCCTCCGACCCAGCCCCTGCCTGCCCAGCTCCCATCTTCGGAGACAGGATCACTCGCTGGAATAAACCTTTCGCCTTTCCAGAAAGGAAATGTCTCTGCTGAACTATTTCAAGGCATATGGCACCACACACACAGCCCACTTCTTCCACTGACCCCTGGAGAGGGTGCATCCTTTCCTCCTCCGCACTCTCCCTAAGGAAAACTCATGAGGTGGGACTAATTCTCTCTTCCCTTCTCCCTACTCCGGTTCCCAAAGAGACCCTCTGCACGGAACCCCTCCCCCCCCACCAGAATGGCAAGCGGTGACCTGTGAAGCGTGAGCGAAGTGAGATGCGTCGTGGGAACGCGCCCAGGAGTCGGGGAGCAGCTCCCTGCCATGTGCACGCTCAGCCTGACCCTCCCCGGGGAGGGGAGAGCTCGAGGTGGGATGCTGTTGTGCCTGAGGCACCCAGAACTGGACGCTGAGTTCCACCCCCCCCCCCCCCCCGCTGCCCCCTGCCCAAGGTCACTCATGGAGTGTCCTCGAGGGATGGCTCATGCTCTCTCCCCTTCCCCCAAACACAGAGACGGGCACTGTCCCCCAGCAAACAGGCACCATTATGTCGCTTTCCAAAGCACCCAGCAGGCAAAACTAGAGCTGCTATAGCAGAGAATCTGCAAATTGAATAAAATCAGGAGGGGAATTTGAGGGAGAAACATCCCATGTTGACATCATGGTCTGAGGCTGAACTCAGCTCCCTTCCACAGTGACCTTCCTTCCCTGACCCCAGAGAGAAACTGCTCCAACACCATCACCAGTCCCTGAGCCACACACCTGTATGCAAATGAGTCACCCCAGTCTGGGCTTGGGGGAGGGCTCGGTGTGATGGGGAGGGGAGAGAAAACACCCAGAGGGACAGTGACATGTCCAGGGTCACAAACCAGTAGAACAGAGGCCAGCGCCAGCATCCAAAGACCGTCATCAGTACCCTCCCAGGTGATAATGAATACATTCAGTAGGATGGTGGCAAGGGTAGGGTAGGGGGCAGCTCAGAGAAGAAAGAAACCAAAAGCAAGGTTGGTGGGAATCATCCAGCCAGGGAACGTGGGACGGGAGCCCAGGAGGCCAGGAGAAGGTGAAGAGAAACAAGGCTCTGGGGCCTGGACGTAGGTAGAGGAACGAGAAGGACCAGGTACACCTGCTTCTGGAAGGTGCCTTCCCACAGGCTATGCCTTCTCTGCTTTCCAAGGTGAGCCAAGAGCGAGAACCCTTTACCAGACCAGACCCAAAGGAGACATGGACTGACCGCACCCCATTTCTCACAATTCCTCCATCCGTGCTCGGGACCAGCCAGGTACAGACTCACTACCTAAAAGATAAGATGGGGGACGGCGGGGGGGCGGGGCGCCTGGGTGGCTCTGTCGTTAAGCGTCTGCCTTCCACTCAGGTCATGATCCCAGGTCCTGGGACCGAGCCCCGCATCGGGCTCCCTGCTCAGAGCGGAGCCTGCTTCTCCCTCTCCCACTCCCCCTGCTTGTGTTCTCTCTCTCTCACTGTGTCTCTCTGTGTGTCTAACAAATAAATAAAATCTTAAAAAAAAAGATGGGGGACTGGGGGATGGTGGCATATTAGGGTGATGAGTGTGGATTATACACGGGTCTGCTTTTGGAAGCACCCAGTTTTAAAACCCAAGTATGTATGTCACTATTGAAATATCCACACATCCTGCGTTTGACTCAATAAAACCTGCCAGAGAGTATCATCTTTTCTCAACACCTTCAAAGGAAGAAGAAAAAAAAAAAAATCATGCCCAGAAATTTCTATCTGCCTTTCTCTTCATCAGGGTCCGGCTGATCAATGTCCACAGCAGCAAGGGAAGAAGGCTTTCAGGCCGAAAGAATAGAAATGAGCTTAAGCTGTGCAGTTTGGGGTGAGGGCCTGCTTGGCACACTCAGAAGCAGGACTAGTCAGGGGGAGGGGGGGTCCTGGTTACCGGGACAGTGCTCACACCATGTGCCAAAAATGGAGACATGTCCTGGGGCAGGATTTGTTCCCTGAAAGACTCTGCTGAACCAAGTCCAGCCATTCATCATCACGAGGGGACTGGAAGCTGAGCTAACTTTGCCTCCCCTGGGTGCATCGGTCCCTGCCTTGTGAAGAGAGCCTGATTTCGGGGTCTCTGGGCTCTGACTTCCCTAAGGACTCCCTGGGAGCCAGGGTGGGGCCAAGCACTGCCATATTTTGAGCTCTTGGCATAAGTTTTGGGAGGAGGCTACCCCACCCCCACCCACCCACCCCCAATGTAAGCGGTAAAAGCTGCCCACTGGGCTTAACACAGCAAGAATGTTAACTCAGAGCCTTCTGCCAACAGGGTTTGAAAGACCAAGTCCTCCAGTCTCGGCAGGAAAATAAGCATTCCGCTTGGGCAAGAGGCAGGCAGTGAAGAGACACCATCTGCCCTTGGTCAACATGGAATGGAGAAATCTTTACCCCTTCTTACCCGGGAGGCATCCCTTCCATACCGCCCCCAGTCCCACACAGGGGACATGCGGCTTATACTAAATCACTTGCTACTCCCTCCTGTAAGGTTCCAACGTTGTTCAATATCCTAGACCCAAGAGGATGTGCTGGTTAGACTCAGAAAACCAAACACAAGAGGAGCCTTCCCCCAAAGTGCCCACTTGCCCCGAAAACTGAACCCGGGACCCCACCCTCACCCCCCACCCCCTCCCATCCAGGGTTATAGACTTTGTAAAATTCCTAGGCTCAAACTTCATGGGCTCCACTGATCCTTACTTTGCCCCGTAATCCCCCTACCACCAAAGCATGCGTTCTGGACTCCGAAGAAATGGTGGAAATAAGAAAGCTGTGATTTATCTGCGTGTCAAGGAAACAAGGGAGAAACTGGTCTCAGAGAGTCCGAGCGATGTGGTGCTGAGGACCGGGGACGCACGTTAAGAGGGGCGAGGCTCGGCGGGAGGCTGAGGACCCGGGGACCCGGGGACCGGCACCGGGCGGCCGCGCGCGCGCACGCGCTCTCACCTGTGGATGTTCATCTCCCGCGGAGGGCGGTGGGCCTTGTCATAGGAGACCTTGGCAAAAACACCGGCCACGATGACGAAGGCGATGACCCCGCAGGTGATGTAGACGGTGAAGTTGGTCTTGTCCTTCTCCGGGTCGTACTTGTTCTCGGGCCCCGGCGACACCACCTTGGTGCTGGGCGTCTGCACCCACACCGGGCTCTGGTAGTTGGTGCACTGGCGCTGGTCCAGCTTCTCGTGGCGCTTCTTGCAGCAGAAACGGTAGTAGCAGGTGCCGCAGCAGTACAGGTAGCCGCTCTCGCTGTTGTTGCACTCGAACTCCTTGTCGTACTGGCCGCTCACGTCGTAGTAGCCCCAGCACGTCTCGTAGGTGACGGCCGCGCTGGCCGCCGCCACCGCCGCCGCGGGCTGCCCCCGCCGGCTCCCCGCCTCCGCGCCGCCGGGCGCCCGGGCGGCGGTGCCATTCAGCTCGCGGCCGCCCCGGGCCAGGGCGCCCCCG